AAACCCAAGTAACTGCTGCAGCTGACGAGAGTGTGTGTGTACTGTAACGGTAAATTGAAACTCACCACCCACAACACAGCCGTGCCCCTCTCCCGCGGCTTCACTTCTGTGCCGGGAGCCGGGTGGGTGTCTCTGAATCTATGTAAACGTGGATTGGGCGGCCCCTCCCTTGCCCAGCCATCTCCTTTGTCCTATGCGGGGTCAGCACAGGTATCTCTGTCGCTGCACAACTTATCTACCTACAGCCCTTCCCTAGTACAGCCCAATGTAGGGCAAAGTGAGGCACCAGGGTGAATTTCTTCCTCTGTGTCTCATTTTAACCTGCCTCTGCCTCAGTTTGCTGATCCACCCATGGGGCCATGATAGCACAAAGGAGCAGACAGTAAACTATAAATCAGAATAAATGCCTATATATCCAGCACTTTAAAATCATAATAATAATCAGGAGTGGGACAGTCAGGTTCCAGGGAAACCCTTTTTCTGAGTTAATGTTTAGTGCCTGATGCCTATTGAAACAGCAGGTCTTGTTAATTAGCTATTCACTGCAGGCTTCTTTACATCTTCCGCAGATGCTTGGCATGAGCACGACATACATTGGCACGGATGCCCCTTGGCGCCATCGTGTGGTCACGATAAGTTCTACGCTGACATAGGTAAGATGGTACAAATTTACTGGCTTCCGGAGCCTGTCTGGGCCCAAGGGTGTGGCACTGGCCTTTACCACGTGTGACGCGTCCACCGAAAGGAGGCGACACAACGCAAAATCAAAGAGAATGTTGCACTCAAGTCTTAGAGTTTGTCAAATCAAAAACCCACTTAGCAAAGGTTTCCCATGATATTTGTAAACACATGTAGGATCCAGTTGAAACAACGGGTTTAAAACAAATAAACCTTCCCCTGCAGTGTCTGCAACCCAGAGGTGGCAACACAGAGCCCCTGCCTGAACTTGAAAACAAGTGTGAGCAAAGTGAAACTAACGTTCGTGGGTTTTCTTTGTCCAAGTGCTATAAATGCTGAAAGTGTGGAGCAGGTTGGTATTATTGTGTTTTCTCTTCTTGCTGAGTGAGAAAGGCTGTGAGGGGATTAAAAGACAAGAGGGCTTGATTCTGATGCTGGCTGAGATGCACCTAGATGTTCTTTACATTAACTTTGCACCTGCTAGTGTTCTGGGCCAGGCCAGACCCTGCCTGGTTCAAGGGGTCTGGAGCAGCCTCAGGGACCCAGAGTCCTCTATGCCACCAGCAGCTGAGACTAGTCAGAGCCCAAGGCACTCCAGTCACCCCCCTCCCCTGACACGCCAACACCCACTCTAGGGGCTGCAAGAGGGCCGGCACAGAACCATTCCTTCCACTTCATGCTGGCTGGGAAACCCAGTCTCTCAAGGGCGGGACTGAAGGATATTGGTGCAAGGAGCGGAAGCTACCGCAGCTACTGACTTCAGTTCTGGGCCAGATTTTCAAAAGTGCTCCACCTGCTGAGTGCTCCTTTAGAAACACGGCCACTTATTTTGGTGCCTAAAGGAGCTGTTTTGAAAACCTGGCTCTAAAACACTCCTGAAAGGAGAACTAGGTCTGCTGTGCGCTATGAAATCCATGTCAGGCCTTGCATACTTCCAAGCCTCATTTCCATACATTGGGCGTTTTTAAAAACAGGCCCTCCAACCTCATGTCTCCTTGTCATTCCTTACTGAACCCAATCTTGCCCAAAATCTCAGAATATTTGGGATGTGTGTGCAGGCCCCTGATCTCCATCTTTCCCTCTGGAATGGGAAGACGCAGCCTCCTGTTTTGAAGCCCTTAAACTCCTGGGCAACGCTGGGCAGGGTGACTCAGCCCTTTATCCTTGCCCACATCGGGCTCTGTGCCGTTTGCTGCACGTGGCTCTTTCAGAGGAGACCTTACAACCTAAGGTCTTTTCTGCTCTGTGCAGGCAATAAGGAATTGATGATGGTGCTTCTCATAAGAGCAGGAGGCACTCTCACTGTCACGCAGGGTGCTGTGGGACAGGTGGCTACTGCTCTCCACCCCAAAGGTAGCTGCATTTCAGTTGTGCTGTACATGGCTGATGAGGCGCTTTGGGAGAAAAGGTGTCATAGAAATGTGAAGTGTTCTTGGGCTCCTGTTTCTAATCAAGCCTATGTTCAGCTGTCTGCCAAACATGAAACAGGCATATTCTTCTGGGAGGGGTCATTAATGCCTTAACATATAAGGAGATGGTATCTGGCCCAAACGTTAGCTAAGTGGAAGTCTGCGGTGGCAACCAGCCATTAGGCTGACATCTATGCCCCGTTTGCATCAAACGGAGCAGTTCACAGAGCCCAGCATGCAATGCTCCCCATCTTGATTTCAAGTATCAGAGGGGTAGCCGTGTTAGTCTGAATCTGTAAAAAGCAACAGAGGGTCCTGTGGCACCTTTAAGACTAACAGAAGTATTGGGAGCATAAGCGTTCGTGGGTAAGAACCTCACTTCTTCAGATGCAAGAGGAAGAAGAAGTATTGCATTCTTCAGATGCATCTGAAGAAGTGAGGTTCTTACCCATGAAAGCTTATGCTCCCAATACTTCTGTTAGTCTTAAAGGTGCCACAGGACCCTCTGTTCCATCTTGATTTGAAAGGCTTAAGTACAAAGGCTACAAGTCCTAGCATGCAACAGTCCTGTGTATGTTAAGAAATCGAGCCAGGGCTCAGCAGTGGGTCTCCTTGGAATCACAGATTATCAGGGTTGGAAGGGATCTCAGGAGGTATCTAGTCCAACCCCCTGCTCAAAGCAGGACCAATCCCCAGACAGATTTTTGCCCCAGATCCCTAAATGGCCTCCTCAAGGATTGAACTCACAACCCTGGGTTTAGCAGACCAATGCTCAAACCACTGAGCTATCCCTATACTGCTAGTATAGACTGGGCTGAACCATTGTCAGCACTGTTACTGAACGTGTGATTGAGACTCAACGGCAAAGGAGTAATTTCCTAGTGTAGACGTGATTTCAGTGGCCTAGGCCCAGGCCATACATCCCAAAGTCCTAGTGTGCAATTCTCCTTCTTGATCCAAGGAGCAGGGGTGAAGTGAGGCTCACAGGGACTTAAGGTTTATCTTGATCTGAGTGGATGGCACCTGGATCTAGAGGAAGTATTTTGGGCTGGAACATGGAGCCAACCCAAGGCTACCTAGATGGAGCGTTGCATGCTGGCACCTTTAGCCTTGATGGGCTGCATCCAGGGCTGGCTTTCAGGGCAGGGTTAGGATGCCAAATCAACATTTAGGGAGGGGGCCACATGGGGCAGCTGACCAGCCGGTTGGTGTATTTGATCCGTCACTCTGGCAATTTTTTGTTGCTCAGCCGCTCAAGGCAGCAAACCATGTAGGGGTGGCCCTGACCGCAATTATATAAAGGCTGAAAGGCAGTATGCCTGGATTGCATGAAACCGCAGTCTGTGTGGCTCTTAAGGGTGCCAGCCCTGCACTTCTGCAGGGGCCCTGTCAGGGGTCATGACCCCTTCCCATCTTCCTCCACATTCATCTGAGCCTCAGTCTTGTCCTCATCTAGAGCCCGTTTTTAGGCAGAATAGCCAGGATCCCTTCTTATAGTCCTATGGGAGGAGACAGGCCAGACAGCAGACATGGCTGGGTGAGGGGCAGAGCTGCCCACGTTGGATAACTGCCCCTCAGCTGAGCAGTCTCCCACCCCCATTTGTTTTTTTTTGGTGGGTGGGAATGTGACTAAAGAACAGATGATACACGTTAATTATTTTTAAACCAGGAAAACAATTCATTCCTAGCTCGAGACGAATCCAGACTAGAGCTGCTTCGCCAAGGCCTATGGGGCCTCTGCCCTCATCCTCCGTTCAGGGCCACTCTCAGGTGGTTGCAATGATGAGTTTGGGGGGCAGCCCTGAGAAATCCCCGGAAAGCCAGAGTCTCAAGCCAAAAGCCTTAGAGGAACAGGTTGGCCGTAGTGAGGCCATCCCCATGGACAACACCTGCCTTGGTGTCTGAACCCCCTACAAGTGCAGGCTGGCTGAGCACATGGGCACCAGGCCAGTGTCATGCTGACACCCGCCTCCTCCCCACCCTCTCCCTAGTGCTTGAACCAGCAACCCACATGTGCAGAGTCACATGGCGGGGACAGGGAAGGGGAGATGCTCCGCTGAGGAGAACAGGGGTCCTGGGCCATCCCCCTAGAGGGAAGACAGGTCTCAGGTGCGGGTGACCCCCAGGATGATGGGGATGACCCCCTGGGGGGATGAGATGGAACGCCCAGGAAGGGTTCCCACGTGATCACCCTAGGGGCAAGGTGTGGGGTGAGGGTGCCCCCCGGGGGACCTGCACCCCCCCCCCGGCTGGGTTCCCACGTGATCACCCTAGGGGCAAGGTGTGGGGTGAGGGTGCCCCCCCGGGGGACCTGCACCCCCCCAGGCTGGGTTCCCACGTGATAGCCCTAGGGGCGAGGTGTGGGATGAGGGTGCCCCCCCGGGGGTGCTGCCCCCCCCCAGGCAGGGGTCCCAGCTGATCGCCCAGGGGGCCGGCCTGCAAGGGGCAGCACCCCGGGGACCCGGCGCCTTTCGAGAAGGGGGGGGGGCACCACAGCCCCCAGAGCGCAGCACAGCCGGCTTAGGCAGTAGAGAGGAGTAAATGGTCCGCGGCCCCTTTAAGACAGGCGGCGGCCGGAAGTGCTGGCCACCGAGTGCTGTCGCGAGCGCGCCTGCTGCGCATGCTCATTCCTCCCCTCCCCCAGCCCCTGACTCGGCCGTTCGGAGACGGTAAGGGACGGAGGGCGCCGCGCTACGGGAGCCGGGAGGGGCCAGGCCCGGACGCGGAGTGCGGGGGGGGTTCGGCCGCAGGGGGAGGGGGAGCCCCAGAGCGCGCCGCCGCCGTACGTGCCGCCGCCGGGAGAGGGACGTCGCGCCGCCGCGGGGGGGGAAGGGGGCTGAGTGGCTGCGTCCGCTCGGCGCCCGCCCGCCTGCCTGGAGCGAGGGGCGGGAGGAGGGGAGGCCACACCCCCTCCCCAGGGGAGCCCCGCCCCTGGCCCCTGCGCGGGGGCACAGCTGGGCGGGGGGCGCTGGGCCCCGACCATCCTTTGGGGCGGGGAGGCTTTGGGCCCTGCCACCCCCCCGGGGGTCTCATAGGTAAAGGGGGTTGGTGACCTCTGACCCCTCCCATCCCAACCTTTTCAGGGGAAGAGGGCTAGTGACCTCTGACCTTTCGGGGGGGGGAGCTGGTGGCCTCTGGCACGTGCCCTCCCCACTCAGTTGTCCAAGGGCCACAGGTGGCATCTGGGGGAGTTTGTGCTGCCTGAGCCCTGCCCTGCCAGCCGCGGGGGGAGGGGGTTGGTGGGGCAATCATGGGAAAGCTCCTGCCCCCTTCTCCTCTTGCACTACTCACGGTGAAGAGGAAATCTGGGATGTGTATGTCCGGCCAATACCTTCTGCTCCTCCTTCCCAGCCAGCACGCCATAGACCGACCCCACACACACACGCTGACTAGGGGTCAGTGCAGCTCGGGCCCTTTGGACATCTGACTCTGAAGGTGGCATCCCACTTTCTCCAGTCCCTATGGGATGATGGGGACGCAGGGGTGGAGGGAGGGTCTCATGCTCTCTGAGTTCCTGACCGCCAGTGGGTAAGGGGTTGTTAGGGTGGAGACTTGCCCCATCTGATCTTCAGTGTGAAGGTAGTTTTGGGGGACAGCCATGTGCCTGTTGTCTACTGGCCGTGCAGGTGTGAAGGGGGCTGGGCATCCTCAGACCACCTGTGTGTTTAGATTATTGAGGCCTTGGGGGAAGTGGGGGGTTGGGCCTTTTGAATCCCTAGTGGTTACACCAGACTGGAGAGTGAAAGGTATGTGTATAGTGGGTGAATGCAGTGCTCTGTTCATCCCAGACATGGGTGTTACCCTTATGACCTTGACTACAGATGGATGAGCGGTGGCTGGGTGGGTTGAGTCCTGTGTTGTCCTGATGCTGAAAAGGTGACTGGTCTCATGTTCTGGGATCGATAAAAAGTGTGAGTATGTCCTCCATACCCAGGACAGGTGAAGGATCTTGCACCATGTTCTCTTAACAGCCAAAAAATGAAAGGAGTGTGGGGTCTCACCCTCCAAAGCCTGACTACTGAACGGTGACTATTTTAGGGCTTGTGCACCTCCATATGGAGGGGTGAAGGATGAGACATTTCTAATACCGTGGCCTTGGCTGCAGTGGGATGTGTGAACACTTAATGAGGGAATGTTATGCTGAGTTTCATAAATCCAGCCCTAGACGCCACTAAACATTGGACCCAAGAATATACAGCCTCTGATGTGTAGTAAGTGAACTACAGAGAGTTGTATTGTTCCCATGGGACCAAATCTGCCTGTATTTCAGGCACACAAGATGCGGGAGAACAAATATCAGGTATAGGACTCTGCCATTCCTAGGGCATTTAAAGTGCTGAATGGGGACTGCAGATACAGTTCAATTGTACGTATTTCAGGTCCAGAAGCAACTGAACTCAGCCCTCTCAGGAGACTTCACTGCAGATTTGTCTTGTCTGAGCCCAAGTGACTCATCTTCCTGGTAACATCTGACACTAGGTGCTCTGAGATGCTATGACGCTCCCAGAGTTCCCTCTGACAGAGACTGCAGATCCGATTTCCCCCTAGACACAGACAAGACCAACCTAAGCCAAGGAAATATTGAAAACAAAGGAGAACTGATTTGATAGCTAGATCCTGCCATATTCTCCTTGAGCAATTCTGAGTTGGGCATCCCAGGCAGCCACAACCTTACTGGGCCATTTGTCCATTGGCCACATCATGTTTCTATTCCTTGCTTCGTTCCGGGTCGCTTCTCTGCCATGTTCTGATTGGTCCCAAAGCACGCTGCAAATCTGAACCAGGATAACTAGTCTGTCTGTCTGAAGCAGGGATGTGTGCTTTTGTTTAGGTCAGCGCATAAGCAAAGGTTTTCTTGGTAAGCTGTGCCTTACATTTGGACCTAAACAGAGTCAGGCTTAGACTCGCCTGATCTCATCTGGCAAGGAATGCCACAGCTGGAGGTCTGCCACAGCTGGAGGTCTGCCACTGAGAACACGGCCTCCAGCAACCCAATAATGTAAACCTGGGTCTCTCTGTGAGGAGGGACAATTAATGATGTGTACACATACATGGAGGCTATTCCAAATGGCAGGAGGTGCAGAGGAGAAGGCTCTCGTATCAAGGACGGTGAGACTGGGGAAGAGCAGAGAGGAGGCCAGCTAGACAAGACAAGGTAGAGAAATAGACATGGTGTCTGAGACAGACTGGTGCAAATCTGTGGAGGATTTTAAAACCAAGGAGAACAATCTTGAACTGGAGCCTGGATTACTTCAAACAAATTACATAATGTGTTATCCTCTCTCCATGCTTTTTAGGCAAGGATAATAATAATAAAAAAAGCAGTTAACTCCTCCGGTAATAAAATTACATGTATATTTTTCCATGTGAGCACTAGAGAATATTCCAGCAAAGCACAACAAATACTCAAGGTGCTTTCAGTAAAACACTCTGAAGATCTTTACTCCCATCCCTCCTCAACTCATCTTTGACGCTACGATCAGTCTTACATTTATGCTTGCATGCAGTGGGGAAAGATCTGGCCGGTGCATTTGTCTGGTAATAAAAGATTATGGCATCAGAATGCCTGCTAGGAATCTTGCAATTAAGGAAAAGAGGAAATTAGCCCCATCTTAGAAACCCGTCTCCCAGCACACTCATATCTGCTGCTAAGACCAAGCATGTGGGCTAGTGCTGACGCTGACCTGGCTGGCCCTGATTTTGCAATGTTTGGTTCTGAAACTACACTATACAGGTAATTGCACTCTGCATTCTGTCTGCTGTTAAAATGTTTGTGAATATGGTACTGTGGGGTTCTGTTTTTTGTCTCTCGCTGATACCAGATCTAACTGGTCTCAACTCTCTGCTCTGCAAGCTCTCTGGCTTATACATGCCCATCATCAGAAGCCCAATATCCCCGTCTCTTTCATGGCACCTGTTGCACTTCAGTTTGCTTCTGCAGCATGGAGTTTGCTCCCCTTCACCTGCTCAGAGATTGAGAATCGTTCTTCTGTAAGCGTCTCAGCTCCCACTAGTCCAATATCATTTTGTTAACTGCGGCAGGACTGCTGGTGACAGTTGCTCTTCCATTTTGACACCATAGAGCATTCTTGTTCTTCCCCTGAGAGTGAGACTAGGGTAAATAGCTGCCTCTGCTTGTCCGCTACAGCCCGCTTGCCACCCAGCCCTTTGACTGCATGTGAGAAATGGCAAATGCCGAAGTGAGCGTCCCTGTGGGGGATGTGGTGGTTGTACCAAGCGAAGGAAATGAAGGGGAGAACCCGGAAGATACCAAAACCCAAGTGATACTACAGCTACAGCCAGTGCAACAGGGGTGAGTGATCCATGTAGCTTTGCCTGTTCTAGACTATTGACACGCATGTGGGTGCACAGGTGTGGGAAGGGGGTATGTTTGCAATGTGGCTAATCTCATGTATGTGATCCAAGGCATGTCCATTTTCAGCATGCTCTTTAAGGGGTACTTCTGAAAGGGTTATACTTTGATTGAGTCTGTTCTGCAAGCCTTAGAGGGAAAGAGAAATTATAACTGATTAAAACGTTAACCTCTAACAATGACCTAAAGTCGTTCACATACATACTAAGGTAGTGACTTTAAGGTTCAATATCTTGGGAATTCCCAAGCTAGAAGCAAGCCCTGGGTGTCTTAGAGGGAAGCTGAGAATCCCTCTCCTTTGCAATGGTTAGGAACATAGGAATTACTATACCGGATCAGATTTGTGGTCAGATCTAGTCCAGTACCTTGTGTAACAATGGCTAGTACCGAGTATTTCAGTAGAAGGTGCAAGAAATCTCCATAATGAACAATTACTGAATAGCCTGTCCTTAGGGGAAGTCTTTTCCTAACCCCAAGCAGAGATTGGTTTATACCATGAATCATGATGGTCTATGTCCCTTATTTTGTAATCCTATCCTGTGTAATTGGATTTTCTCATTAGATATATATAGATGTCTGATCCTTTTTTGAATCCTGCTCAGCTCTCCGATTGAATGTCTTGTAGCCATGAGTTCCACAGATTAATTATAAGTTATGTTTAAAATAAAGTTATAATACTTCTGCTTCTAGTCCTAATGGGTCATGAGATATTAGACCTTAAACTTGTCATTGTTCGAGGACTAAATACTGCTCCTTCTATTTTAGTTTGTTCTATTCGGGGTCACATACTGGGCCCGCCACTATGGTATCTGAGCTTTGGGCCAGTGTAATTATAGGACAGGGGAATTTCACGTTCCCTAGTAGTTTGTTGGGTTTTTTTAATGGCCGCTCAGGGGTATGAATGTTAAAACAACACCTGGGGAGATAGATTAATGAGCCGCATGCAGTTGAGCCAGGCAAAGGGGCATGATAAGTGCAGTTGATCACATGGAAACCACCACCTATGTGATAATGTAACTATATTGACATACACAAGCATCTGTTCCTGCTTTGGCATCCCCTACTGTGAAATATAATAAAGCCAGGGTGCTAAATGTTGGCAGCTGCAATAGATGGCAGTGTATTATGGTACCCTGCATTGGTAGTCTCTTTCTAAAGGAACAGATGACTTCCAGCAGTTACATGCCTTTTAATCAATACATATATTGCAAAAAACATTTGTACAACATGAACTGGGATTTTACATGCATAAAACTCATAACATTAAAAGTGCAGATTTATACAAGTAACTCTGTCCCTTTGCCTGTCGGCATGACAACTGAATCTTTCAGTCTGTGATCACAAGGAGGATATACAGTGATGCAAAATGCCACATGTGTATATCTGAGGTGGTAGGCAAAGTTGCAGTATAAACGTAAAGCAGAGAATTGACAGTTTTACTGGTGGAGCAGTCTGGGGGTGGGGAGCTATGCATGTTTCAATCCCTGGTCACTATTACTCATTATTTATATCTGAACCCCCTCCCCTCCCCTTTCCCCTCCCCCCCCCTCAAGTTTGTAAAACAAAAGATTTTGTCCCTAAGGGACAAGTAAGCAAAAAAATGAAATGAGGTTTTTAACCCTGTGCTATGAATCTTAATTTTTCCGTGATTTATATAGTTTGTTTATCGATGGACACTTTTACAACAGGATTTACGAAGAGGGCTCTGAGACCAGTGCCGCTGTGGTGGCTGTAGAAACACATACCATACACAAACTAGAAGAAGGGATTGGTAAGTTTCTCTTTGGTGTGGACATAAACATGTCTCCTTCAGAATGACTTACAGTTTGATTTGCACCTTTAATACACTGGGGTTCTCTCACCACTGGGATTGGCAGTTGGGGATGTTGTTTCCCCAGGACGTGGAGTGCATTGTCTTGGGGTGTTCCCATCTGGATCACCAGTGCTATAGTTGACACTAGGACTCTAGATACTGGGGGTGAAATCCTGGCTCCAGTGAAATCAATGGCAAAACTTGCATGGGTTTCAGTGGAGCCAGGAATTCACCTTGGAGGCCTTCTTGGTACACAGGTGCTAGCATCTGTGTACCAGAACGGCAGTTGTACAGTGTTTGTGTGAGCAGGGAATCCCAACAGGAACTGTTTGAGCATCGGCGCCAGTCCCTGTCAAACAGTTGGCTTCTTGCTTTGTATGGATTGAGACAGGTTAAGGGTTTGGGTTAAATATAATGAGCTGAGCATGCTGGCTCTGCAGTGCTCCCTGCCAGCCCAGAGAGCAAGAGCCTGGGGGAAGTTCTCTCAAAATCACACAGTGGATCTTGGCTCTAGCATTCTGCCCCCTCTCTGTGTGTGGATCTCCCATTGACGTTAGTAGAAGATCAGCACCTGCACGGAACAGGCTTTTGGAGCAGAGACCCACTGCTTAGATACCAGAGCAGAACATTGTCCTGTGTCTTAAATTTAAACTGAGATTTCCCACGTGACAGGATGTGGTTCTACTTACTGACCCTTGGTGACCTTTCTGAGTGCTTGCGTTGGATGCATTTTGCTAGCATTGGTGATCACTTCAGACAGATTCTGCTAATATCTACGTTTTTCTTTGGGTGTCACCATTTAGAAGGAAGTCACCTGCTGCAGGAGAATGGACCCTTTAGCTGCACTGGCTTTCTGGGGCTGGGAAGGATAAGAGGCGTATTGCTGAATTAGGAAGTGTCCTACTCGCGAAACTGGACGTTCACATCTCTGCCTTTGTGATTTGAGCTCCCAATAATGAAAATCTCATGTTATCCATGCTTCTGCCTGCAGACCCCAGCACCATTGAAACCAATGAGGAAATTGAGATTGCCTACCCCATCACCTGTGGGGAGAGCAAAGCCATCCTCCTCTGGAAGAAGTTTGTCTGTCCAGGAATTAATGTCAAGTGCGTCAAGGTAATTTGTTTGCTATAGAGTAGCCCGATTTCATTTGTCAGATCCCCTCTCTGAAGCTGGGACTGTGGCAGGTCATCTTCTTTCTTCCAGTGTATTTTATTCTCTCTCTCTCTTTCTCAATTTCATCTGTCTCTCTACACTGGAGTTTGTTAAATTTGCTTTGGCAGCATGGAGGGCCACAAACATGGGAGTTGGTTTTTGTTTCTGTAAGAGGCAAGGCCATGAGCAGATTTTCAGGGAGAATCTCAGGGTGGAGGGTTCTCAGCCCCATTTTCTTTCTGAGTCGCTATTGATCCCTGTTTAAAGTCCTGCTTTTTCTTTCTTTTCTTCCATCACATTCCCTTGGAGCCATGTTGTGATGGTTTCTAGGGGTGCGCAGGACTGTGTGTGTGTGAGAGAGACTTGCTGGTGCTTAACTGGGCATCAGCTCCTTGATACCAGGAGTCTGTTAGCTGTCCAGACAATCTCCTCAGGGCTCTGCCAGCCCTCACTTTGCCTTGCAGGTTAACAATAGGTGTATCTGAGCCCCTCTGAAACCATGTCCTGTAGTATCCAGCCCCTGCCCTATGGATACTCACAGAAAATACCAGGAGAGCTGTCCCCAAAGGAACAGGGTTCACACCAGTTTGATTCAGCTGAGGGTCAGCTCCAATATAACATCACAGCACTGAGATATATTTATAGAGAAAAAAGTCCGTGTGTTATCAAAGGCTGAGATTTAAGAGAGAGTGAGTAAGGATAACGGAAACAGAAATAATTTTTAAAATTAAGATTGGATGTTTTTCTAAAAGCTCGGCTCTAGGAATTATTTCGGGGAAGTTCTATGGCCTGTGTTAGACAGGAAGTCAAACTAGACGATCACATTGGTCCATTCCGGCCATGGAATCTGTGAATCTATGAGTAAATGGGAGCAACTGCCACTGGCTTCAAAGGTAATTGCACCTGCTTATGGCAGGAATATTGTTCATGGACTGTAAATCTACCTTTAAGGCAGCATTGAAAAGTGCTAGGGAAAGTGCTTTGGGCTTGATCTGCTTGGGCCACCTGCTGAAAAGTCATAGAACATCCTTGTAAATGTGCTGGATTTTCTTCTACATTGGTATCAAATCACATGCTTCGGGGTGTAAAATGATCTCTAGGAAGGGGTTCAGGAAGGAACCACTCCCAACAGCCACCCACTATTGCATTGCCGGTTAAATACATTATTGGGAGGAAGCGGTTTCCTTCAACTGAAGCTACTGCTAGAGACAGGATATTGGGCTAGAAGAACTGACCAATGGTTTCTGGTTGTGGAGTGTCCTAATGTAAAGTAACGTTCCCTCCTGGTTTTGTTGATCTGTCCTTCTGCCTGGCTGAATTCTTTGTTGTTGTTGTGTTTTATAGTTTAATGACCAGTTGATCAGCCCTAAGCACTTTGTTCACTTGGCGGGCAAGTCTACCCTGAAGGATTGGAAGAGAGCCATTCGCCTTGGAGGAATCATGTTGAGGTACGACTGTCCACCATGGTAGCCAGCTTCAGCACTTCCTCAGTGCAGCAGTAGAATCCTGTGCAGACGTTTCATCTGCCTCTGTGTCTTCAGTACATGCCAGTTAAATCTCTGATCAAGAAAAAGTGGCTGGAACAGCAGATCCCTTTTAATGTGGATGGCCAGCAGCTTGCAGGACCTTTAGGGTGAAATCCTGGCCCCACTGAAGTCAATGGGAGTTTTGTCATTACTTCACTGGCAGCAGGATTTCACCGTACGTCCCAGAGATTATGTGGTGAACATATACAGGTAGGGTTGTATGGTATTTAATGGGGTATAAGGGTACTGTCACACGGCCAGAGCCGTGTATACAAAGTTGGAGAATGGAGACACGAGGGCCACTGTTTTTCAGTTAAGATCTTCTGGGGGACTCGTGGGGGCACATGGGTTTCTTGTTCTTCCTCCTCCCCATGTGGTCATAGCTGTCCCTCTGACCTGTTGGTTTCTTCAGGCTGAGATCCAAGCTGAGTTCACTGCATAGTTCTCTCCCCATTCTGTGCACAGGAAGATGATGGACTCTGGGCAAATTGACTTCTACCAGCACGACAAGGTTTGCACCAACACCTGTCGAAGCACCAAATTTGATCTCCTGATCAGCAGTGCCAGAGCACCAGTGCCGGGGCAACAGACAAGTGTGGTGCAGACGCCCACATCAGCTGATGGTAGGGGACAAAGCCAGCTAGAAATGCCGTGTGTTACCCTGTAGCACTTCCCTCCTGCCTCTTGCTCCCTGAGACTGTCCAGTTGTCTCTGTTTGTTTTCTGTGTGCAATGTCCTAATGCAGTGCGCCACCACCTCTCTCATGTTGCGGTCCCACATCTCAGATTACTTTTTACTTGCACCCAAGGTGTTTCAAAAGATTCCTGGGAGGGGTGAAGCTTCCTGTTGCATCTGCTGGAAGTGGGGATCAGTGGGATCTAGCAATGAACTGTACACTGTAAGGTTCGGGGTGGGGAGCAGCCAGCAATGCACTGGTGGTGGATGTAGACAGCTTTGGGACCCAACGGAAAACTGCTGGTAACTGACCTCTTGGCAATCTCTGTTCTAAAGTACTTGGGTGTGGAACACAAAACAGCTCATGAAAAAACACTTGAAAGACACCTGCTTGCAGTGGTTTTCCTGACGCATGTCCTATTTGCAGGCCTATTAGAGGGTCATGTGAAAGGGAGTATATTGGATTTCTGGTGGGCTCAGACATATATTGGATGGGTCTTTTTACTCTGAAAAATAAACAAATGGAATATTTAAAACCCCAGCCAGCCGGGATCCGGCTCCCACTTCTACCTCTGGCAGCGTATTTCCACCTGTAGCCTTACCAGTTTGTCCTGTTTTCAACATGCTGTAGTTGGTAACCCTACACCTTGGCTTTTGGTACCATTTACATACATGATGCATGGCTTCTTCATTGTTGCTGCCATTTCAGGCTGGTACTCAGAATAAAAATGAAAAACAAAAGTCCTTCCAAGTTTAATGTTGTTTAGAAATTCAACCAAGCAGTTACTCTGGATGGAGACTTTGAATGACCAATAGCATTTTAACTATGAATGCTGATATAAGGCTGGTCAAATCTCATACTTCGGGACGTAAGCCAATCTTTTGCAGAGGTCAGGAAGGAGATTTCCTCCCCTTGTACATTATCATACAATTGGCTATGTTACTTTCCTCTAAATCTGAAGTGACAGCCAGTGTGTGAGGTATGATGCCAGTCGTGATAGACCAATGCTCTGATCCGATATGGACAGTCCTATGTTCCCAATGCGACAAGGCAGGGAAATGACTGACCCATTTGCTCCTTAAGTTCCCTCCTTTATTGTGATCCCTTCTGCTACTTTTACACCAGGATGGGTCTCTGGTTAACTCTTTGGACGGGGAGCGGCTTTCCATCCACAAACTCTAGTGCATTTCATAGATATGGTTCCACTGACAACAAACAACATCTGCTTTTCGCTAGTATGGTTTATAGGTACAAATAGCCTGGCAGAGAGTGAAAAACACGGGGGGAGTGGAAAGCAAAACTGCTGATTGGAGCGTGAAATTCCTGGTGCTGTCGAGAGAGCTGAAGCCTCCTCTTCTGGATCCTTTTGCAGGGAGCATCACCCAAATCTCATTGTCTGAGGAGAGCATGGAGGAGGGGATCGAATGGAACTCTGCTCTGACGGCTGCTGTCACCATGGCCACCGAGGAGGGCATCAAGAAGGACACAGAGGAGATTTCGGGTAAGTTCATACTGTCTTTTGGCTATTCTCCGCCACCCGTCCACATTTTCTGAGTGAATTTAAGGCTGATGAAAGGTTCCAGATTTACGGCCTGGGAGACGAACGTCCTCAGAACAGGTATGACATAGGCAGCAGTAGTGCAAGTTTCCCCTCTCCCCTGCAAACACACACGGTGCCCCCTACTGCAAGTAGGGGGTGAGTTCAGTCTCTAAAGCCCATTCAGTCCTTGGCCTCTCTGCTGAGATGACCAAGCAGGTCAGTTAGTGCCTGTTACGATATGGGGGCTCTTTATGAAATAGACCCCAGCCTACCGGGAACTGGGCAGAGTCCACCCACTCATTTTTCACAGGCCAGTGAACAACTTCAGACTAGTGCCATATTCAGTCGCTATTGGCCATGGGTGGATTCAAACTATTGACCTAGAGGCAAAGCCCTCCATAGCTTATTACCAGTTCTCTGAGCCATCCACTTTCTCCCTGCACTATTGCTACAGGTGCTTTACTGGCCCTCCTCATACCTGTCCAGAAGCTTAGGCAGAATTCCCCAGGCCATAGACTCTGTATCTTGTGCAGACAGGCAGAGGTAGTGAAGCACTGCTCTTAAAGTCCTAAGCTGTATGAAAGTCCTCACTAGTGATGTTTACTTCCCAGATCCATTTTTTTTTTGTTTGTTTCTGTTTTTTGCATGTCATGTCCGCCCTGATGGCCAGATTAGAAGCCGGCTTCCAAAGTTACTGCTGCATGACAGCGCGCTGCTCTTGGAACGGTTTTAATGTAGCCTTGCGGGAAAATGCCAAATGCTTGTACGTGTCGAATTCTTCTCCCTCCTGTCTCTTCCTGTGCCAGAGGACACGCTGATGTTCTGGAAAGGAATAGCTGATGTGGGGTTGATGGAAGAGGTCGTCTGCAATATCCAGAAAGAGATCGAAGAGGTGCTGAAAGGTGTCCAGCAGAGGCTCGGCCAATCTCCCTTCCAGATCACAGGTGGGTGGGAGGCCGGCAGCCTCTGTGTTGATATTAAAGGATTATTGAAAAAGTCGCTATGGTCAGAGACGGGAAGGGAAAATTGGCCCTTTCCTACTCACAAAATCCTTTCCTGGCGTCAAATTCTCTTTTTAGTTACACCCATGTTTTGTTTTGGTCTTTTTCATTCACCTTTGGGCAGATAGATGACAGTTTCAGAAAGTCGTATGTAATGGAAAAACTTGTGCAACCTTCACTATTGCTGGAGCGCTAATGACACTGCCAGCATTATGGGCAGGAAAATTGTAGGGGGTGGTCTAACAGCGTATTTGCATATACAGATGATGCTTTAATTTGCAGCTATTGAGAGCTGCTTGAGCAACGGGTCTTTGTTTTATTTATTTTGATATGAACAGAGTTGTTCCATCTTTGGATCTCCATGGGGTTGGGAATGCCCTCCCCAGCCAGCACTCCTGGAATTGCACACTGGAAAAATGAAGAACTTTTAATAGAAAGCACTAGAGGATTTTAGGCATGCTAAATAAATCTCACCTGCCTGGCTCCTTGACTGGAAGCTCAGGCTGTCTAAGGAATTTTAGGCACTCATACATGTGGGGTTTCCTTGCAGATGCCGCAGTCCTGAATAATGTGGCCCACACTTTTGGCCTGATGGACACAGTCAAGAAAGTTTTGGACAACAGGAAAAGCCAAACAGAGCAGGGAGAAGAGCAGTTTCTTTATACTTTAGCAGGTATGGTCAATGCCTGGGAAATTCTTTGTTAGTGAAACCTGGTGTCCCATCACAGCTCTCATGCGCTTTCCTATTTGACTTTGAACAAATGCAAAACAATACGTTACTCCCTTTATTTAAAACCTAAATTTGCCTTTTTTTCCATACACCAGCATGCAACTGGTGTGTTATCCTGTGTCACTGCAAATTATTGACATACTGCATCATGAAACACGTGCACTTGAATCTCCATCCATTCTAGGGATCAGGTAGGAATCCCCCAAAATCCCTTGTGTAGCAATGAGCCATTGGCCAGGGGTGTTAGGGAGTGTGTAGTATTAGGTATGCCCTCTGCTGAGGGAAGGATACTGGCCTTGCTGGACTTCTGGTCTGCTTCACTATGGCTGATGCTTCCTCTTCTTATTTTCAGCGATATCCCCCAAAGATCCTTATCTGAGCTCTGTTTGTGCTGGAGACCCAGCTTCGGGAGTGGCCTTGGGACTCCCAGTCCCTGCGACAGCTCATGAACGCCATCCATCCTGAGATGGCACCCAACCGAGCTCAGGAGATGGCACTCGCTGCCGCGGTCTCTCCTAGCTGGAACAGGCCTGTGCAGCAATGGCACCCATCTTCTCGGCAGTGAAAACAAGGCTGTGAGCAGAGAAGTAGAGGTAGATCACCACTCCAGAATGAGGAGACAAGGGGAATCCCAAGGACCTTGGTCCTTAATGCTCCATCGCATTGCACCTTGTGCAGCCATTTACACAAATGCAATGTGTGGGTGTAAAAAGCTACCAGCTCAGAAGGGCAGTGTTCTGCCTCCACTCTGCACAGGTGTGAATGGTCGCTGCAGGGCCGTAGTCAGTCTGGCCCCGGTCTTGAACAAAGTTTTCTCCTCAATCCGAAGTGGATTGAGGAGAAACACCTGGTTGGACATCTGAGATGCCCGCTGCAAAATAAATAATACGTGGCACCAGATGTTGCTGATTCTGTGGAGTCCCTTTAAGTATCTCCCTCTGTTTTCAGTGACTCAAGCTTTCTCTGAATATGCTGCATTGTCATTCTTCTTGCAGACCTGGAACGCCAGCTGGAGGAGCAGAAGAAGCTCGCCAGGGATCAGAAGATGAAGTCTCAGACGATCCAGAACGTGGTGCTGATGCCAGTCAGTGCTCCGAAACCCCCTAAGAGACCTCGTCTGCAGCGCCCCGCCTCAGCCACAGTCTTGAGTCCCTCCACCCCTGTCCAGCAGCCTCAGTTCACAGTCATCTCACCCATTGCCATCGCACCTATGGGACAGCAATTCTCAGTGGGCAACATTCCGGTGGCAACCATCAGCCAGGGATCCAGCCCAGTGACTCTCCACACCTTGCCATCCTCACAGCTCTTCCGATATGCCACCGTGGTGTCTTCCTCCAAGTCCAGTTCATCTGACACTGTAACCCTTCATCCGTCCTCGAGCTTGGCCCTGCTGAGCTCAGCTGCTATGCAGGACAGCGGTGGGCTGGCTAACGTGGCCACGGTGGTGAACCCTGTGGAACTGGTGGCCATGGAGTCTGGCCTGACCTCTACCATCCAAGCTGTAGAGGGCACCTCAGAAGATGGACAGACCATCATAGAGATAGACCCGGCACCAGATCCTGAAGCAGAGACTGAGGAATCAGAGGGCAAAGCTGTGATTTTGGAAACTGAGCTGAGGACAGAGGAGAAAGTGATGGCAGATGTTGAGGACCATCAGCACCAGGTGCACAATGTAGAGATCGTTGTCTTGGAGGATTAGCAAGGAAGGCAAATCTCATTGGTGGGATGGGTTGTTTTTTGTTTTGGTTTTGGTTAAACTTTTTTATTTTGACAGTCATCCCGTTCGTTGCCATGGATCTTTTTCATTTTTACAGTCCAAAAACGGGAAAAGCTGGAGAAACATGGAGAGGCCCAAGAAAAGGCTCCATCTCCATGGAGTGATGGACAAAATCAGCCGTTTCTGCAGGGAGGAAGGAGGAGTGATTCTGCAGACCAGAAGGGGAGAGCACCTTTCCTTCCTGAGAGCGCACAGTGATACAGTCCATATTCTCGTTTTTGCCCAGGCTAGGACTATTTTATTTGAGAGAGACTCTCTGGCCAGTAACTGGAGCATTGATCTTACTGCTGGAAGGGGTTGATTATTGCTTTGGGGGAAACATGTACCTCATTTTTATTTTTTTCCCAGGGAAGGGAATTCTGTCCAACTCCTCATTATCAACTATGCTGGTATTTTGCTTTTGGCAAGGAAGCAGCAACCCTGACTGTAGTGTTCATTGTCCCCTTTCCCACACCCTGTGGTTTTTTTTGTTTGTTTTGTTTTTTTGCTTTGCTCTCCCTTCCCCTTTCCTGATCTGCTGGCTGCTAAAGTGCTTAAGGGTTCTGTCACCCAAATCCTGCTTCTTCCCTTCCTGGCCTTCTCCCTCCCAGGCCTTGTAAGTTTCTTTGCTGCAGGATACTGTTACAAGACACTGCTTGCTTAAGCCTGGTGCGTAAAGGAGAAGAATCAACCCACTGGTAAAAACACAGCCCTCCCTTTAGCATAGCGCTGACCTCCTGGATGTATAAAGCGTGTGTTGTGCTGTTGCTTCCTGGGAGAGCTGGACTCCACGGGGCAGGAGCCCCATCTGTTTATGCCGCACGCTGGAAACTGTACTTGCTAGTTGCTACATGTTGGTGTGTGAGTTTTTTCTTTTTTGCCCTTAATCTATTTGCAGGATTAGAATGGGCATATTATTTTAGCGTTGTGACTGCCTCAGCATCCCCGCTCCCCCCGCCACTTCTTTAGTGGGGGGGCTCTTTTGTTTCTTTGTGGGGGAGGAAGGGAAGGAGGGAATCTATTTTTAGTTCAACTGTTGAATTGTGGGGAATTGGGAGGGCTGGGGGAAATCTGCTTGGCTGAAATATATTAAGCAAAACAGTAACAACAGAAATAGACCCGGGGCGGGGGGGGAGGAGGAGGAGGAGGAGGTGTGTAGTTATTTTATTTTATTTTTAATTTTTTTTTGCATTAAAAGGAAAAATCTAAATGCATCTAGATTATTAATGGGAAGGACTACCGTGAATTTGTTATTTGTATTTTAATAGCACCTCAATCCAGATTGCCCTGTTTTGCCAGACACTGCACCTGCACATAGGAAATAGTCCATGAATATAGCACTTGCACTGTAAACAAAGGAAGAGAGAAAGGAAATATTATTTATTAGAGACAGACATTAAAGGCCTGATTTTCCACTCGACTGTAGCTTGTCACTGGGTAAAGGGGGTGTATGATGCTACCATTCTGGGTTGGTAGCATTTTATACCCACTCTGCACGGATATAAATAACGTAACGTGCAAGGCAGAGAGAACTGGGCCCTTTGACTTGCCCCTGTTTGCACAGGTGTTCTTAGGCAGAGCTGGTAATTGAACCCAGATCTCCTGAGTCCCAGACCACAGCTTTAACCACCAGATCATCTTGTCACCGTTTCAGGGTTAACCCCGCACCTCCCCCACTCGGGTCTTAAAGGCTTCAGGCTTCCCACCTATTACTTTTCTCAGGCGGAGATCCAGTCTCTCTTCCTCCGTATCTGGGGGTTTAGGCTTGCAGTCTGTCTAAACTTCTCTGTGTTTTCCCCAGCAGTAGTGCTGACCAGGGTCCAGCACCTGTGATTAATCTTTCCCCAGGGGCTACAACAGTGTATACCAGTTAATAGCCAGCCTTCACAAAACAAAATACATTTATTCTGAGGGAGAAAGCATTGCAGAGAAAACATATAAAAAAAACCAAAAGTTCCTAACCACATGCTAAAATCTCACCAGAGATCACCGAAGCCAGCCAAAGTCCTTCCAATCCTTCTGCAAGATCATAGAATCATAGAATATCAGGGTTGGAAGGGACCTCATGAGGTCATCTAGTCCAACCCGCTGCTCAAAGCAGGACCAATCCCCAACTAAATCATCCCAGCCAGGGCTTTGTCAAGCCGGGCCTTAAAAACCTCCAAGGAAGGAGACTCCACCACCTCCCTAGGTAACCTATTCCAGTGCTACACCACCCTTCTAGTGAAAAAGTTTTTCCTAATATCCAACCTAAACTCTCTCTCTGCAACTTG